ATAGAACAGTAACTGAGACGAAGTCTAACATCACACCACAAAAAGAACAGAAACCTGTTTTTAGGCGCTTTCCGGTTTGTGAGTGTGTGGTGTAAAAACGGCTAATTTAAAACTGTAACTGAACATAGAGCGGGGAGAATGTGCGATAACATATTATGACAGCATTTCCACTATACAGAGACAATGAAGGCAAACCACCTCAAGAATACAGACTACAAGCCAGGAGGCAGCGGCGGCACACACCTTTAATCCCAGCACTCAAGAGGCAGAGGCACACGGGTCTCTGTGAGTTCAAGGCCAGCCTGGTCTACAGAGCAAGTTCCAGGACAGCCAGGGCTACACAGAGAAACCCTGTCTCAAAAAACAAAAAATGGAGGTTACAGTAAATGTATTATTGTTAGTTGGGACCCTGGCTGCTCCAGCAGGCTAGGCTCTACCACAGACAGTAATAATGGAACACAGAGAAAGCTTTGTTTCAATGTTGCCATGTTGGGAAGAGTAAATGCAGAGGTGCAGGTTCCCAGTCTCAAGTTAGTCTTTGAGGTCCTGCCGAGAGGATTATAGCTAGAACGAACACTAATATGTTATAGTATGCATAGTATGCATAGCCAAACTGGCCATCAATGTCTCTGCTCAGACGCTTCTGCAAGGCAGCCAGACAGCTTGGCAGAAGTGCTGAAGTCCTCCTGGGAAACGTCTCCCTGTTGGCACCAGGCTTCACCCTATTCTCCTTTTTTCTTTTCTCTTTTTCTTTTTGGTTTTTCAAGACAGGGTTTCTCTGTGTAGCTTTGGGCCTTTCCTGGAACTCACTCTGTAGCCCAGGCTGGCCTTGAACTCACAGAGATCCACCTGGCTCTGCCTCCCGAGTGCTGGGATTACAGGCGTGCGCCGCCACCACCGCCCGGCTCCTTTTCTCCTTTTTTATTGAAAGAAATAAGGACATACACACAGATACCAGGAACATGAGTGAACAATGTCAGGGGCTCTGAGGCCTTGTGTGAGGACGTAGTGAGGTGGTGGCTCTTCGCAAGCCCAGAAGGAGAAGGCCTTAGAAGAAGCATGTCAACATCTTGTGTGCATTTTCATAAAAGGATTTGAGTATGTGAGCAGGTGTACGTGTCTCTGCCTTCGGAGACCAGAAAAGCAAAGCACGCAGGATTTGAACTCCAGTCCTCATGATTATGAAGCACTCTTAACTGCAGCCAAAAAGTATGTGCTGGCATTCTTTTTTTTTTTTTTTTAAGATTTATTTATTTATTATATATACAGTGTTCTGCCTGCATGCCAGAAGAAGGCACCAGATTACAGATGGTTGTGAGCCACCATGTGGTTGCTGGGAATTGAACTCAGGCCCTCTGGAAGAGCAGCCAGTGCTCTTAACCTCTGAGCCATCTCTCCAGCTCTGAGCAGGTATTCTTTTCTTTTCTTCTTTTTCTTTTTCTTTTGTTTTTATGTGACAGTGTTTCTCTTTGTAGCCTTGGGTGTCCTGGAACTTGCTCTGTAGACCAGGCTGACCTTGAATTCAGAGATCCGCCTGGCTCTACCTCCTGAGTGCTGGGATTAAAGGCACGGGCTTTGTTTATCCACAGGATCCTGCCACTGAAGAGACCAGAGAAGGTTGTGCTAATGGAGACAAGACTCTGAGCAAAGAGATCCTTACACTTCTATACACAGGTGCCTAGGAGGCCAGATGGTAGCCATGGTTCATTGATTTTTCTGTTGATTTTTAACGTGTGTGTGTGTGTGTGTGTGTGTGTGTGTGTGTGTGTTGGAGAACACTTGCCACAGTGCACAGGCTGGGGGTGGGGGGTGTCTCTCTTTCCACCATGTAGGTTCCAAGAATCCAGCTTCGGTGGCAGGCTCACTGGCAAGCTGCTAACCACTGAACAGCCTCGGTGGCTTTTTTTTTTTTTTTTTTTTTAAGATTTATCATTATGTATACAGGGTTCTGCCTGCATGTATCCCTGCAGGCCAGAAGAGGGCACCAGATCTCATTACAGACGGTTGTGAGCCACCCTGTGGTTGCTGGGAATTGAACTCAGGACCTCTGAAGAGCAGCCAGTACTCTTAACCGCTGAGCCATCTCTCCAGCCCTAAAACTTCTTTTTTTTTTTTTTAATTTATTTTTATTAAAAAAATTTTTTAAAGAGGCTTCAGTGGCTCTTAACATGCTATCATCCGTTGTTCTTTTGTGACAAGGTCTTGCTGTGTAGCCCAGACAACCCTTTCCAGCCGGTAGCCATGCTCCTGCTTGGACCTCTAATTGCTGAGATTACAGCTGTGCTACCACACCGCCTTCCTCCCCGCTCCCCAAGGGGTGTTTTGTAACAGTTTCCTCTGAAATTGAAACATTTTATCCAGCAAGGAAGCTCCTTGGGCAAGAATGTATACAATTCAAAATAGCTCCAGGAAGTCCCTGAAACTGACCAGATTCATTGCGCCCAGGCTCTGCCAGAGTAAACTATATAAAAGCTGAGAGTCCTCCTCAGATGAAGAAAAAAGATGAGCTGCAAAGACGACTTTTGAGATCAGCCAGCTGCCGGGTTTAGACCAACTGAGGACCTGGGAAGGACACTCTTGATCCTGTTGAGCTGCCTGTAGGCTGTGCAGTGTACCCCAGGTTCCCAGCATTGAGAGCAGTAGTCACCCATGCTGGGGTGGGCATTAGTGATACAGCTGTCTTTGGGTCATGTCTGTTCTTGTAACCCCCAATAAAACACGTCGGTTTACTATTGGACTTTGATGGTATTCATACTTTGGACTGTCATAGGTTCCCTATCTGGAGTGAGTAGATGTTGCATCTCTCCAGGAAAACTTTGTCACACAAGGGGAGGGAGATATTAGAGTGTGAACTAGAGCCTTGCATATGCTAGGTAAGTGCGTTCTACCAGTGAGCTATGTGTGCTCTCTCTGTCTCTTTCTTTCTCTCCAGGGTCTCACTTCACAGTCCCGGCTGTCCGGGAACTTGCTATATAGATCAGGCTGGCTTCAAATGCACTGCGGATCTACTTGCCTCTGGAGTGTTGGGATTGAATGTGTGTACCACAACACCTGGCTCTCCTCTCTTTCTTGTTTTGAGACAAAGTCTCACTGAATTGCCAGACTGTAGCCCAGACTCTATTCTCCTAGGATTGCCTATCTGCACCAGGGTTGGCTTTTTAACGTGGTTAATGAGTTTAATTGTTTTTAAAAATGTGTTTGGATGTTTTACCTACATGTATCTGTACCCTATATATAAAAGGGACCTCAAAGTTAGCACAAGACACCCAAGACCAAGTTCTCAGCCCAAAGGAGATTTGCCCCATGAGCCCCTTCAGTATGTCCCTATTGCCCACAGAAGCCAGAAGAGGGCATCAGATCCCCTGGAACTGGGGTTACAGAGGTTGTGAGCTGCCATGTGGTGCTGGGAATCAAACCCTGGTCCTCTGGAAGAGTAGCCAGCGCTCTTAGAGGCTGAGCCATCTTTTCAGCCACTTTGCCGTGAAAAAGTAATCGTTGAAAACCCTCCCTTCCATTTGGATGTGCTCTAACAAAACACTCCTCCGTCCTCTTGATGAAATGGCAAGCCTGCAAGGCATCCCAGTCAGGATTCATCAGAAGGAAATCGAGACCCTGAAGAACGTCAAGGGTAGTGGAACACCTGAGCATTTCAGTCATCACTGTTGAGACAGGGTCCCCCGCTGTATGTATCTTGGTTCCCTTGCCTATGACTCTTCAGTGCTAAGATTACAAAGCGTTTTATTGGGTAAATTAAGGTTTTTGGTGACTAATCTTGGTAGAGTTGGCAGATTTTAAGAGGGTGTGGCTATTGTAATGGGTGTGTTCCTTTATAGTTGAGCAGTTGTTGATCCAGTGAGTTTCCTTAGGGTTACAGGAATATTCGTGAGGGATTGTTAAAGGGGCATTGGCATTTACCAAAGTCTACACCACAGAAGAAACCTTTCCCAGTTAATTATTATTAACTGCCTATAAATTCTCAAGGAAGGTGGGCATCTCATGAGACCTTCCCCTGAGGAGTTTTTTCCAGGTTTTTCAAATCCAAGGTCTAGTATATGCTAGGCAAGCCCCTCCACTGATCTGCCATTCCTGCAAATACTGAGATTTCTAACACAAACTGAGCTGTCTCCTACTTCAGACCTGTGGAGGAAAAAAAATTGCCTGTGGAGAATCCTTATAGCAGGAAGGTCAGCAGATGAAGAGCAAGGAAACATTTTATCAGGGCTGCCACAATGGAGTCTTCAAAACACCCTGGGGCAGGGAAGCTTCACTTAAGGCATTCTCCTAAATCTCCCTCCCTTTGTTCCACCCTGGGTCCAGGTTCAGTTCTCCCTATATCCAAGCTTTCTCTGGTTTGCAGTTAAAACTCTTCTGTCTGGGTCTGTTTTGTTTTTTATTTATTTTTGTTTTTTCGAGATAAGGTTTCTCTGCGTAGCCTTGGCTGTCCTGGAACTGGCTCTGTAGACCAGTCTGGCCTCGAACTCACAGAAATCCACCTGCCTCTCAAGTGCTGGGACAAAAGGCGTGCGCCACCTCGCGTGGCTCAGTTCTGTTTTTAGCTAAGGTCTTGGTATAGATCCCTGGCTGGCTTCAAGCTCTCCATCATCCTTCTGGTCATCCGAATAGCTAAATTACAGGCGTGCGTCACCACACCAGGCTTATTCTTACCCCTGCTCACCTCTCTGGCTTTCCTTGGTCAGCTCTCCTCCAAAAGGCCTTCCCTAGCTTTCGACCCCTCCCCACCCAGGTTTCCTCTGGTGGAACATTCCAGACCTGAGTGTTAACGCCCTAAGCCGGAGCAGCAGTTCTGGGGAGGGCTGGAGGTGGCTGACTTCTGGAGCTAGCTGAGGACTCGCGAGCCCCCCAGGCCGCCGGAGCGCACGCTGTGCACCCACGCACGTGACCGTCAGCCGGAGTGAGTCAGCTTTCCCACCCCCAGCCTGCCAGTGCGTTGCCATGGTTACGGGACTAGCACAGGGGCGGGGGGCGGGGCCGGAGCCGGAGGCGGGGCCTGCGGGCGGCCATTAATCCAGGTTTCTCAACCTCAGCCCAGTTACCATTTCATCCTCATTGGTGAGTTTGGAAAATAGGCTTCCCTTTCAGGTTTGAGCCTTTCTGTTTTGTTTTACATGTTATATAATACTATTTCTTTTTAATTGCTGGTACAGATAAACGTATAAATACAGCCTGCTGAGTTCATGTAGTGTTGCTCGTATGTTTATGTTTCTAGAACTGACCACTTGGTGTTGGATAACCCAAGGAGAGGGCTCGTCTCTGGGGAAGACTGACTCTCTTTCAGCAGCCATCGAGTGCCTTGAGCTCTTCCTCTAGGGGTGGGGCCCTGTAAGGTTTTCCCGTGCCTCCTTGGCATGTCGGGTAGTGTTGTCATAGTCCAGACCTGGTTTAGGCAACCATGCTGTTGACATTTCGTTGATGCAGCTTCCCTGTCCTGTAGAGAAGACACAGCCTCTCAGCAGATGTTCCGGTTTCCAAGTTAAACGTGTCTCAACCTTCGGCATGAGTCTGTGAGAATTGGAGTCATTGGTCGTGAGAATAAAGCAGGTCCAGTTTTATCACAGACATATTGAACGTGAACTCAAAAACGGTCTGGTTAAATAGGGCAGAACTTGGCCAGCTTGTAAGACGGAAACTGATCTGTGTTCTGCTGAGCCCGGTGGGCCCCAAGGCTAGATGTGGTTTTGGTTTTTTGTTTGTTTGTGTGTTTTTTTTTTTCATTTAGGTTGTAGTGTTTTAAGGTACCTTGTTTCCATACGATAGGACCCATCTGAATGCAGTCCACCCACTTATCACCCAAGCAAAGAAACACTCTTTCCAATCTGGAAGAAAAGCTCACTTACTAAACAAGGGCCAATAGCTCCCACTTCATATGTATATGTATGTATATATGTTTTAATACATGTATGTATGCATATACATATACGCATGCATATATATACATTTTCATATGTATACATGCATGTATATATGTATGGGATTTAAATATATATCATATATGTGGTATCTAAATATGACTTCAAGACATCAGCACATGTGTATTCAAGAAATTTGTAAAAGGAGCTGGGTGGCGGCGGCGGCGGCGGCGGCGGCGGCGGCGGCGGCACACGCCTTTAATCCCAGCACTCAGAAGGCAGAGGTAGGCAGATCTCTGTGAGTTCGAGGCTAGCCTGGTCTACAAAGCGAGTTCCAGGAAAGGTGCAATGCTACACAGAGAAACCCTGTCTCGAAAAACCAAAAAAAAAAAAAGAAAAGAAAAAGAAATTTGTAAAAGTGGACCAGCCAGGTGACTCAACAGATAAAGGACACCTGTGGCCGAGTCTAAATGACTTGAGTGTGATTCTTGGCACCCACATGGTTGCCCTTTGACCTTCGTAAGTGTTCCCCCAAACAAAAATAAATGCAATTAAAGAAATTTGTAAAACTGGGCCATCCAATTCTAAAGTTACTACAGTTCCACCAAAAATCAAGTGATTTATCTTTAGAGAAAATTGGCATCTCAGCATGGTGGTACATGCTTGCAATCCCAGCACTTGGAGGAAGATCAGGAGTTTAAGGTTATCCTTGGCTATATACTAGCTGAAGGCCAGCCTGGGCTACATGTGATGCTGACTCAAAAAAAAAAATCAAACAAGCAAACAAAAAAATGTCTAGCCTGGCGGTGGTGACACACGCCTTTAATCCCAGCACTTGGGAGGCAGAGGCAGGTGGATCTCTGTGAGTTCGAGGCCAGCCTGTGCTACAGAGTGAGCTCCAGGAAATGTGCAAAGCTACACAGAGAAACCCTGTCTCGAAAAACCAAGGAAAAAAAAAAAGGTCTAGAAAGACAGTTCAGTGATTAAGAATACTAGCTGCTCTTCCAGCAGAACCATTTTCCGTTCTCAGTACCTACATGGTGGCTCACAACCATCTGTATCCCTAGTCCCAGGGGACCCAACACCTTCTTCTGGTCTCCATAGGCACTGCACATATATGGTGCACAGACATACATGCAAGCAAAACACCCATATACATTAAAACAACACACACACACACACACACACACACACACACACACACACAGGCTGCAAGATGGTTCTCTTGGTAAAGACACTTGCTGCCCATTATTCGTAATAGCCAGAACCTGGAAACAACCTAGATGCCCCTCAACTGAAGAATGGATTAAGAAAATGTGGTACATATACACAATGGAGTACTACTCAGCAGAGAAAAACAATGACAGCAGGAAATTTGCAGGCAAATGGATGGAACTAGAAAAAATCATCCTGAATGAGGTAACCCAAATCCAGAAAGACAGTCATGGTACTTACTCATAAGTGGATACTAGATATAAAGCAAAGAACAATCAGACTGCAACCCACAGAACCAGGGAGGCTATATAGCAGGGGGGACCCTAGGATGACTGTGGCTTATAATAAGTTTTGGTTTTGCCCAGTCACTGGGCAAGACTTAGTGAAACATTTCACTCTTAGGATAAGAATTTGTACCGCATCAAGCTGATGAAAGAAAATGCTGGCTGTACTTTCAGGAATGGAGGCTAAAATCTTTATAGATTATGGATTAGCCTATAGAAAAATGTCTGCCGTAAATCAAACAGTGAAGGGGAAGATGAATAGGAATCTCACTTATACAATTTAAGTAAAACAGAGCTCTTTGAACAGATGAAGATAGGTTTCTTCTGTGTCCCAGAATCTAATCTATATTTATATGTATAATTCAGCTATTATTTGGCTTAAAGGGGCTTATTGGGAAATGTTATCATTTTGCTATTTTCTACAGAGAAAATATTTTCCAGTTTTTTTATGTTAAAAAAAAAAAAGACAATGGGCTGGAGAGATGGCTCAGAGGTTAAGAGCACTGATAGCTCTTCCAGAGGTCCTGAGTTCAATTCCCAGCAACCACATGGTGGCTCACAGCCATCTATAATGGGATCTGAATGCCCTCTTCGGGTGTGCAGTCATACATGCAAATAGAGCACTCATACCAAAAAAAAAAAAAAAAAAGACACTTGCTGCCTGGATTCACCTCCCGGATTCACATGGTGGAAGCAAAGAGCTAATACCAGAAAGTTATCCGGTGACCTCCACACACATTACACACAACCACATCCACACAAAAATAAATGTAATTAAAAAAATTAAAAAGCAAACAACAACGAAACCCAAACTAACCAAAATCCAAAGCCGTATAGATTTATTGCATTTATTGCTGGAAGACGTGAACCAGAAAGTGCTCAGCAGTCGCAATACAAGGCTACATCAAAAGTCAAGAACACACTGTGATTCAGGGTGGGCCTGTAGCTCAGTAGTAGAGTATGGTCTGGATACACGAGGCTCTGGATACATTCCCCAATACTAACAGAAAATCAAGCTTTTGCCTTCAGGCTGGAGAGATGGCTCGCAGGCTAATAGCCATTGGCACACTCTTGCAGAGGACAAGAGTTTGGTTCCCAGCACCCACACAGTGGTTCACAAGTACCTCTAACTCCAGTTCCAGAGGACCTTGTGTCCTCCTCTGGCTTCCTTGGACACCAAGAAAGTATATGGTACACATTCATACATGCATGCATGCACTCAATAAAAAACTCATACACAGAAAATGAAATCTTTTGTTAAAGGTTCTGTCTTAAGTCACAGTTCAAAGATAGCCTTTGGATGGAAGTTCAAGACCAGCCAAGGATGAATTCACAGTTTTAGAAACTACTTCAACCTGCAAAACATGCAGACTGTTAATGAGGCTACGTCTGGGGGAACAGGCAACAAGATGCATCTCGTGCTATTAGAGTCATCGGCGAAAGGGCTCTCTTCCAGAACGAATGAGGTATCTTCCTGGGGAAATTGTCCAGCTGTGTTTCTATTTCTCAACTTGAAACTAAAGCCTTGGTTGAAAAGCAACTAATGACCTTCCATCCTTGTTGTGGAATATTATTTTAGATGTGTTACATTTGTTTCTGCTGGGGAACATTTGTTTAATGATGCAAAGATGTGTTGCATTCTTTTATGCTGCATTTGTTTAACTCTGTGAAGCTGTGTTACTTTGTCTGCCTAAAAACACCTGATTGGTCTAATAAAGAGCTGAACTGCCAATAGCAAGGCAGGAGAAAGGATAGACGGAGCTGGCAGGCAGGGGGAATAAATAGGAGCTTTCTGGAAGGAGCAAGAGAGGCAGGAGCGAGAAAAGAAGGGGCGAGCCACCTAGCCACACAGCCAGCCAAGGATAAGAAAGAAAGAAAGATTTGCAGAAATAGAGACAGGGAAAAGCTTAGAGGTAAAAGATAGACAGGATAATTTAAGAAAAACTGGCCAGAAACAAGCCACACTAAGATCAAGCATTTACAACAAAGAAAAAGTCTCTCTGTGTGATTTATTTGGAGCTAGGTGTCAGGCCCCCCAAAAGAGCAAAGAATAAAAAACAAAACAACAACAAACAACTCTACACCTTCTCCCAGGCCTACTTGGCAGTGTGTTCTACAGAGCTACAAACCCTGAACCCCTTCAAAAAAATTTTTTTAAAGGCATCCAAAAGGAAACGATCACATATAATTGGGCCATTTAGGATAGCATATTATTACATCTAGATTTTATTTAAGATTATTTTGTTTTGCCATATGGTAGTGGTGCACGCCTTTTAATCCCAGCACTCAGGAAGCAAAGGCAGGCAGATCTCTGAGTTGGAGGCCAGCCTGGTCTACAGAGAGAGTTCCAGGATGGCCAGGACTACACAGAGAAACCCTTTTTTTTTTTTTTTTTTTTTTTAGAAACCCTGTCTTGAAAAAAAAATATTTTATTTTACATGTGTAGTTATTTTCTGTGAATGTATGTCAGTGCCACATTTGTGTGGAAGTTAAAAAGAAAGCATCAGATCCCCTGGAACTGAAATTTATGGATGGTTGTGAGCTGCCATGTGGGTGCGGGAACCCGAACTAGGTACTCTGAAAGAGCAGCCAGTGCTGTTAACTACTGAGCCATTTCAGCAGCTCCACGTCTGAATTTTAAAAAGTTAAAATTAGCCATATGTGACTCATACCCTTATAATCCAAGTGTTTGAAAGTGTAGCAAGAGGAGCAGGAATTCAAGGCCAGCTCTTGGCTGCACAGCTAGTTTTGTCCTAGGATGGGCTACAAGACACCATTTCAAAACCAACCAAACAATAACGAAAAAAAAAGAACGAATTAGGACGGGCATGGTGGTACACACCTTTAATTCCAACATTTAGGAGGCAGAGACAAGCTGATCAATGCCTAGAGAGTTCTAGGCCAGCCAAGGTTACAGAGTGACTCTCTCTCTCTCTCTCTCTCTCTCTCTCTCTCTCTCTCTCTCTCTCTCACACACACACACACACACACACACACACACACACAGAGTTAAAATTACCTGTAGCATTATGGAATATTTGAACTGTTATCAATAGACGTTGGAGGAGGTCAATGGCAACCTCCCCCATGATAATGCAGCTAGTGATCTAGCTTCACTCAAAACTAACCCTTGAAGCATATCCACTATAGATGTGCCCACTAGTTGTCTACATTACTCAGGAGGCTGAGGCAGAAGAATGAATGGCTGTCACTTCAGCCACATAGGAGACTCAGAGAACAAACATAGCCCCTACGTTCTACGAAATGGGAGCAGTAGTTCCGGAGGGATGCCAATGCCTCTTCCTCTTAGGGCCTCAGGAATGACTCGACCAGGCAGCACAAAGGTCTCCAGTGGAGAGAACACTCTTCATAGAGAATCCAAGGCGATGATGTCATCAAAGGGTTAATTCTAGACAGGGACGCGGGGGGTGGGGCGGGGGGCGGGACACGCAGCTGTCAGGTGGCGTCGGAAAGATTAACTGCGGTGAAGAGCTTCACGTCGGGGAAAATCGAGTCCTGGGAAGGGACAAGAGGTTACCCACCCCGAGTTGGCTCCACAAAGCATGCGCGCCTGTCTACGACTGGCCTCACCACAGATTCTTCGCCTCGATTACTTGCAGCGGGTGAGGTTCCCACGGGGGGGCGTGGCGTGGCGGGCGCGGTCTGGGTGGTGACGAGAGGGTTAACCACCGACAGAGCCCGGGGGCGGAGCGGGCCGCCGGGCGTCCTGCGTCCCCGCTGGAGCCGGAAGCAGTCGCGGGTCAGGGGCGCGCCTAGCCTACCCTTCTGGGTGCTTCGGCCGAGGTCCCTGCGGGCTGGGGAGCCCAGCGAGGTGCGGGAGAGAGGGCGGGTGTTAGGGAGGGCAAGGGGGATGGTCCATGGTGTGGTCGGAGGGGCGAACTCGTGAGAGACTTGGGGGGCGCGGCACAGATGGGGTGAAAGCAGAGTGATGGGCCCAGGAGGGCTAGGGGACCAAGAGCAGGCTGGTTGGCACCCACGGGTGAACAGATGACGGGAACGCTAGCGAAAGATGCTGCGCCTCACACTTTTCTTCCCACGCCGCTCCAGGGGACGATCCGGAGCTCAACTTTCAGAAGAGAGACGCCCCAGCAAGCCTGTTTGGAGGATCCCATCAGCTGCTCACCTCATGGGCCAGACGGCCCTTGCAAGGGGCAGCAGCAGCACCCCAACCTCGCAGGCTCTGTACTCTGACTTTTCTCCTCCGGAGGGCTTGGAGGAGCTCCTGTCTGCTCCCCCTCCTGACCTAGGAGCCCAACGACGCCACGGCTGGAATCCCAAGGACTGCTCCGAGAACATCGATGTCAAGGAAGGGGGGCTGTGCTTTGAGCGGCGCCCTGTGGCCCAAAGCACTGATGGGGTCCGGGGGAAGAGGGGTTACTCGAGGGGCCTGCATGCCTGGGAGATCAGCTGGCCCCTGGAGCAGAGGGGCACACACGCCGTGGTGGGCGTGGCCACTGCCCTCGCCCCGCTGCAGGTTGACCACTACGCGGCGCTTTTGGGCAGCAACAGCGAGTCTTGGGGCTGGGATATTGGGCGGGGAAAACTGTATCACCAGAGTAAGGGCCTGGAGGCCCGCCAGTACCCTGCTGGACCCCAGGGTGAGCAGCTAGTGGTGCCAGAGAGACTGCTGGTGGTTCTCGACATGGAGGAGGGGACTCTGGGCTACTCTATTGGGGGCACCTACCTGGGGCCAGCCTTCCGTGGACTGAAGGGCAGGACCCTCTATCCCTCTGTAAGCGCTGTCTGGGGCCAGTGCCAGGTCCGCATCCGCTACATGGGCGAAAGAAGAGGTGAGACCCGGACTAGGAGTCGGGAGAGAATTGCCACTCTTGGCAATGGTTTGGGGTGGAAACCCATGCTTGGACCACAGAAAAGGGGGCTTCGTATCACTTTGGCTTGTCCCTTAGATGGCCTTGGCTCTAGCTTCACTCTCAGGCCTTACTGGATGTGATGCAGAAATCCAGAATGATCTCCTCTGTCAGGCGGGGGCAGAATTGCAGAAACGGGGGAGGTTGAGCAGACTCAGGAGTTTGAGGACGTCTGGCTGGAGCTGCACCTCTCCTGACCTTGACTTTCTTCTCTCTCAGCAGAGGAACCACAATCCCTCCTGCACCTGAGCCGCCTGTGTGTGCGCCACGCGCTGGGGGAGAGCCGGCTTGGCCAGATACCCACTCTGCCTTTGCCCCCTGCCATGAAGCGCTACCTGCTCTACCAATGACCCGGCAGCACCAGATTGGGCTGGCACCTGGCCATCAGCAGTACGGTGGGCACAGGTGGAGAGGCACCATCGGCCTAGACAAACAACAGAAACGCCAGTGAAGCTGAGGGGAGGAGAGGCTGGGCCCCTTCACTAACCCTTAGAGAGGGGCAAGACAAGGAAGAGACTGCAAAGGCTGTGGAAGCCTGGTGCCAAGATGTTTGTCAAGTAAAAAAACGAGATGTATTGTCACAGCGCCTCTTTGGTTTTTGTTCCGCCTGCCCCCAGAGTCCTGTCACTGGGAAACTACATGGAAACGTGCAATGATGACCGACTACAAGCTCAGGGCCAGGTGTTTATTTCCCTTACATGTAAGATGGTTCACAAACACAATACGAGGGCGGCGCTGTGGGGGAGGGCAACATCCCCGGCCTCCTAGAGCAAGAGGATCTTAGCCTTGGTGTACACTGAGAAGGGAAAGGTGACTTCACTCTTTTGCCCTTGCTAGGGCCTGAAGGGGCGGTCAGTTCCCCTCTTTCCATCCACCCCCCAGCCAGGAAGCCATCTTGGTGAACTAGGTGACGTATTTCATTCTAACCATTGTTAAGTGGTAAAGGGATTGGCCTGGTCCCAACCATTATAGGGAGGTGTAAAAGGTTCAGGAAGGTACCGTGTGGATTAGGGACACAAGATGGAACAGATGACATCAGAAGCATGTGTCTGGTGGGAATAGTTACTAAGCTTCTGGGTGACCTAGTCCTGGCCTAGCGAAGGGTTGGGGAGACGGATGGTGCTTATTGTTTGGCATTGATGATGTCCACAAATTCAGGCTTGAGGGAAGCACCGCCCACGAGGAAGCCGTCCACATCAGGCTGGCTTGCCAGCTCTTTGCAGGTTGCTCCAGTCACAGAACCTGTGACAGAACAGGAACAGGAAGATGGCTTGGTCAGGGACAGGATTAGCACACTTGTGCCCCACCTCTCTGTGGGGCCTCAGTCTGTCTTAGCCCATTTCTACCTTGGCTGGAGCCAAACCCACTCACCTCCATAAATGATTCGGGTGCCTTGAGCCACCGCATCAGAAACATTGGATTTCAGCCACCCCCGAAGCTTCTCGTGTACTTCCTGGGCCTAGAAAGAGGAGGCAGATTAAATAAAACCCTTCCTGTTCCTTCAAAGAGAACACACACACACACAAGCTTGGAAAGTTTAGTTTCTGGAAAAGCCCTGGGGTCAGAGAATAGCAAGGCTCCAATCCCAGCCAGGCCTAGAGTGAACATTCTTGGCAAGTCTGAGGGACCCTGTGTCTCCTGGGCAACAGTTACCTGTTGAGGTGTCGCAGTCTTGCCGGTACCAATGGCCCAGACAGGTTCATAGGCCAGGACAACTTTGTTCCAGTCCTTCACGTTATCTGCAGGACAGAGATCAGGGAGAGAACAGTGAAGAGGAAGGAGTTGCCAGCCAAGCTCGCCAGGGTGTAGCAGTAATAACCTACAGCCCCTGGTGGGCTCTTTTTCCCTATCCATTTTTTAAAACAATGTGTGTGTGTGTGCGCCAAGGCGCACACACGGAGGCCAGAGGACAACTTGCAGGAGTTGGCTCTCTCCTACCATGTGGGTTTGGGGGGTCACACAGGCCCTCGGCTAGGCAGTAAACCCCCTTACCCACAGAGCATCTCAGGAGCCCCTAGTGGCTTCCGAAGGAACAGAAGTGACAAGGCCCACCCCCTTTTCCTGCCTCAATCAGGCAGGCTGCAGGGTCTCTGACCCCCGACCCAGCCCTGGGGCCCTTCCAGGCTCAAAGGTCCCTTTCTCCAGAGGTACCTGCGATGACTTTGGTTTGCTCGAAAACAACCTTCTCGGTGATGCCGGCCTCCCTCTCATCTAACTTCTCCCCGATGCAGGCGATCACTCCGAGGCCCTCGGCCAGGGCGTGGGCCACTTTCTGTCCAATCAGCTGTTGGACAAATACAGTGAGACATCCCTCTCGATGAGAGCGTCTCTCCCACCTCCCCTCCTGCTTACTGACCTCATCGGACTCCCCGAAGACATGCCTCCTCTCCGAGTGCCCCAGCACTACCCATGTGGCCCCCAAGTCTTTGATCATGCCAGGGCTAAAACGGACAGAAACACCCAGGTTCAGCAAGGAGCCTCCCAGGAAGTTCCCCTCTGCACCCCCTCTGCCTCCATCTCACCTGATCTCCCCAGTGAAGGCCCCATTGGTCACTTTGTAGCAGTTCTGCGCAGCCACAGCAATCTTGGGATCTAGCTTCTGCCTGGCGAAGTCGATGTAGGCGGTGGGGGGTGCACAAACCACCTCTGAGAAAGAGATCAAAGAAAGCCTTCATTCTCCAGGCTGGCTGTCAGGCCTTCACCCTCTCGGTTCTATCCTCCTGCCTTTCTCATTCCAGAAAGATGACCTTTGTCCACTACACAGTCCAGGCTGGGCCTGTACCAATCCCACAGCCTCCCTAATGCTCCTGTCAGGCCCCAGCCCTTAACCTGCCCTCTGCTCTTTTAACAGCTGTGGCTCTAATTTCCTCAGGCTATTCTGGGAATGGGCACCTCCTAGACTCAGCATTCTCCGGGGTCAACCCTTTCTAAAATAGCCCATCCCACTACTCCAACCCGGCAAGGATTTTTAGCATAAGGAGAACAGGCCAACTACTGGAGTGTGTATTGGCTCTTTGGGAAATAAATGAGTGGACGATGCCCTTTCGGTCACTCTCAAGGTTCTCTGATTTAGGTGGGTAGGAGGGGGAAGGATGGAGGATAGTATCCGTGAGCAGCAGGGAGTTGATTAGCTCTCGGAGACCTTGGGTTTTCCTATTTCCAGACTGAGGAGATCTGTAGGATAGCTTTTCATTCCCAAACGGCTCAGCGTGTTTGGCGCCTGCTCGGTCCCTAAGGTGGAAGGCAGGAGTGGCCCAGGCTGTGGAGGGGTAGGGATGCAGGAGCCCCCAGCTCAGCGGCCGAAGCGAGCTGCGGCGAGGGGAGGAGTTTCGAGCTACGTGCGGAGACGCACGCATCTAGAGACCGAGGGGGCAGGTAGCTGAGAGCCCGCGCAAGCTCAGCTTCCTCCCCCACACTCTGGGGGACACGTGCCACTTTTCTTGATTATCCACCCGGACACTGGTTCCGCTTCTTAACCGTGGCCTCTAGCCGGTGCAGCCCCGGTCCACTCGTAGGGGCGACCTTCCACCCAGCCCCCACCCCAAGAAGCCCTTTCCCGATCCACAGGCCCAGGGCACCATTTAAATGTCTTCCCCCCCAGCACATCTCTTTGCTGCCCGGACACCAAATGGCCCCTGTCCCCAGGCCAGCATCCAGGTCCACTCGGATAGGGAGTAGGTGCTGCCACGCCCGATCCCCCCCTCCCCCGCACCGCCGCCGCTCCCAAAAGGAGCTCACCGGTGTCCGCGGGCACCTTGGCCGCGTTCAGGGTGCAAATGAGTTCTCCCAGGCACTTCTTCCTCCCGTTCATCTTCCAGTTGCCCCCAACGAAGAACTTCCTGGAAGGCGCCATTGCGCTGGGACTGCCTGGTTGAAGGTCAGCACAAGCGCGAGGCCCTGGCCACTGGCCACTTATATAGAGCGCTGTGAAGCAGAACTCCTCCTCCTTCCCGCCCTCCGCCATGGTTAGCCCGGCCCCTTGCTGCTAGGCCTTCCCCCGCCGCCTTCCCACCTCCCGGTGTTTCGATATTCTGACGGTTCTCCTTTCTTGTAGCAACGTTCTAGGGGGTTCCGGGGGCTCAAACGTCCCGCCTGTTGCTCGGCAGTTGAGATGTTGAGCCTCGCGCTCAGAGAAACCAACTTTGCGATTTCGAAGGCCAGAGGGTATTTCCCGTGGGGCCGGCAGCAGCAGGGCCCTGGCCAGTCTCACTGAGACACCTTTCCAACTCGGAAAGCGAGCCCTCTCCCCCCAGCACAAGGCAGAGCCATGGTTGAGGAGCCTTTCCAGCAATCACACGGGGAGGGGCCCAAGTGTTTCACAAATAGCGCTGGTGATTTCTGGGCTTCTTGTCTTGGCCAAATGGAGCAGAGTGGGATGCTAGTGTGGGGGGGAGGCGGGGGGGGGGGCAGATTGGCTGCGGTTTTGTAAAGTGTCAGCTAATACCAACCAGTATGGACTGCCCACTGCCCACTCCAGCCCCTCTATCCAGCAACCACGGGGCTAGACCAATTACACGGTCAGTAGTGGGGGGACGCAGCCACTCTTCTGGATTCTCCCTTTATTCCACTTCCCCAGCTCAGTTTTCTGAGCCCTTCTACAACTAGAGACAGAATTGCCTAGCGGTGGAGGCAGGGCAAAGGACCCCAGTTGGACCTCTCTGAACCTGCCCGCTCCAGTAATTTTCCCTCTAAAGAACTAAACAAAACCAGCCAGTCTTTGTCCTTTTATTCACATCATGTGTTTTGGCATTTTTCCAGAGGACCGAAGAGACAGAACGGGAGGCTGAGGCAGAAGGGCAAAGGGGGGGAGGTGTCCCTATTTCCCTCATATCCTTCTTTGCCCAACCACAAGGGAGCAAACACATAAGGGAGGGGAGGCACAGTCGCTCCCTCCCCTGGAAGGATGCATAAAGCCACACCCACGCACACACAGATGAGACCCCTCCCCATCGCAGGGGCTGGGCCATCACAGAGAAGCAGAGCACTGTGGATTCCAGGGGCAAGGGAAGGAAGCAACAAGGTCCCACTGTGGACAGGCAGTTGGCCCCTTCCTGTCCCACCCCTGCTCTATCCCCAAAGTCTACTGAGTACCCCTCCTCTTTGCTTGGCCATTCTCCCATGGCCTCCAGCTCTTTCCGGCTGCTAGGGACAAAAAGAAAAAGGGTACAGAGCAGGGGGCCGAAGTCCATCCCTCAAACCCTGCCGCTCATGCCAGATGGTCTGTCCCCTGCCCGAAGTGGGAAGGGTCAAGGGCAGGCTCTTAGCTGACCACTCTCTGGTAGAAGTAGATGTAACCCAGGTCCTTGGGGGGCTTTTCGGAGGCACACACTTTCTGGTCGTTGTAGATCACCCATCTAGGAAGTGGGGGAAGGGACAGAGAAGGATGAACAAAGTGGGCATCGTGTTCAGCTCTCAGGTAATCACCTGAGACCCCTGAGGTGTTTCTGGGGAAGAACCCCAGCTTTCATTCTATGCTGAGATCCCCAAATCTGCAGTCCAGCTAGCAGTCTGAAAGGAGCTCAAAATCCCATAAAGATCATTTCCCATTTGATGTCTTCAGACTGTTTATTTAGAGATGGGA